CGGGGTGCCGTCCGTACCTCCAGAACTCATTCCCGGCATGTCGGCCGGATGGTACAGACTTTTCCTGCAAGCCACCAAATCTTCTATGTGACCCCCCAAAAAAGACCATTTTAAACCAATTCTTCCCAAATACAATCCCTGTTGCGCAATCACCCCCCAGCTATTATCCGCCGCGTGCGTGTGTGTGACACGGACTGGACCGCCAACACTGACAAACCGGATGTTTTCGCTATCAGACTAATCATGGACTACATTTCCGGGTCACCGTTCTGTTCCCGCACGGGCTCGTTCATTACTGAAAGACAAAAAAAAAGAAGAATAGAGATTATAGTTTGTAGCGCAGAACAGAAGGTACTCCCGTCTCCATCACGTATCCCAAAAATAAGAGGATGATTCTTCATTTCAGGACAGTGGGCGGAGCCATGCAAATCGTTTCTTTAGATCCCCATCAGTCTGATGTACATCCAGAACCGCTGATGTATAGTAATTCAGTATCGAGTACCGATATTTTTTTCCTGTACTCGCCGATACCGAATACCGATACCGGAAGTCACATTCAGGAAGCCAGGCGGCGTGTAATGACTCGCCACCCGGCTTCCTGATTAGCAGGGAACCTGTCCCCGTGCTTCTCGTCACTATCTGACGAGAAAGCATGGAGCCGGCTTTCTGGCCAATGATGTGGCGCCCGGCTTCCCGATTGGCTGGTAAGCCGGCTCCATGCTCCCTCCTCATGAAATGACGAGGGAGCATGAAGCCGGCTTCCTGACCAATCAGAAAGGCGGGCAGCGCGTCATTACATGGCGCCCAGCTTTCCGACTAATCAGGAAGCCGGGCGCAGTCCAGAAGACCTGCGTTCCCGAAGGGAGAATCCACGCACAAGTGTGTATAAGATTACGGGTAAGGGGTGGTGTTGGTGTGCGGCTTCCTGATAGTACAGACATGTGTAATAAACCAAAAGGGAAGGAGGGAAGCGCTACTACCGGGAAGGGATTGAGGTGGGCCGGGTCGTGGAGCAGGGTTTGTAGTGACTCACTTGATGGTGAGTCGGACCTCCCCCCCATCACCATCATGTGATTCGGAGCACCCCCACTACCAACCCAGCTCCACGGCCCGGCCCACCTCAATCCCTTCCCGGTAGTAGCGCTTCCCTCCTTCCGGGCCAATAAAGAAGTCGGGCACTGCGTCATTACATGACGCCCGGCTTCCTAATTTGTAAGCTTCCCCACCAAACAGGAAGCCGGGCAGCGCATCATTACACGCAAGTGACGAGGGAGCATGGACCGGCTTCTCAGCCAATCAGGAGTGTAGCCGGGCAACGTGTAATGACGGGCTACCCGACTTCCTGCTACCAGAAGTATCGGGCTAGGCATCGGAGCATTCGGACGAGTACTCGGTACCAATACCGATACTAGTATAGGTATCGGTGCATCCCTACTGAAGATTATAGGGCCATTTATTCCAAACTGCATGCAGATGTTTCAGGCTTTTTGCCCATCATAAGTGCAGTGTATGTAAACCATGGCTTGTACGGAGAAGGGCTTGGGAAGCAACAAGCGCTCTGCTCCACAGATGGAGGTCAGGTGTCTCCAGTGAAGGTTCTGTTATTACTCCATCATACATAGACATTGTAGACCATTGTCCTCCTCCAGCCTTGTGGTCACAGTTTGGTGAAGACCCTTTTCTGTTCCACCATGACTGTCCCCTGTGTACAGAGCCAGCTCCATAAGGACACGGTGTCACCAGTTTGGTGGAGGAACTCTAGTGTCCTGCAGGGAGCCCCAACCCCC